ACATCAATGTCTGAAGGGAGAAAACACATGAAAGTTGAAGGCTCTTTGGGAAAATCCTACAGGTTTTAGGTTGCTTCTGCCTGCTCAAACCTATAACAACTCTTCTCATCTCCTTTTCTCTGTACACTTCTCCTGCTTCACTCTGATTGAGAACTTAATGTCATGGAGAAGGAAAGGAGGGAAGCCTGCCTCCCATTGCCTGTAGCACTGACAAGATGTTTTGCTTTTTCCAGAATGCTTTCACGGCCTTTTGCTGCTGCTTCTTTTCCCATCTTCTCTTTCAGCGCTAATGTCTGATTCCCTGAACTGATGTGTGTCACCTCACGCTTTCCTGTTAACAAACAGTGTCTCATCCATTACCTCTAGTTTTGCATCTGTCATGCTCCTTAGAGTCCTTGAGCTACTTGGTCCAGGCTTTTGATGAGGAAAATAATCATTCCGTTCTGCTTCCGACAAAATTAAATCAAAAGCCCCAATGTTATTTGCAGGGAAAGACTCCATTCAGTTTAAAAATCTGTTGGCCCTACAAATTCCCCCTACTTCCAATTTAAACTTACTAACACCTTCAGCTGTGAGGAAAATTAAACAGATTTTGAAGTCATTTGAATTTTTCCTGTTTTTTTCTACCCATGCTGTCTCTACAAGGAGGAAGTCTCTAACTCACCTGTCCCATCCTTTTTGCTAGAACTGACAGGTGTTTTACTATCGAGCTGATTTAAAAGAGGCCTCTTAATCAGGTGTCAGCTTTGGCCCATAAAGTCATATTAATGTTTTGGATCAGATATGAGGCTCTTTCTAAGGCACATTAAGAAAGATTCATTAGAAACTCACTACCCCAGGAATTTACAGCCTTCCTGGAACTTAATAGCCTGAATAAATTCCTCCTTATCTGGTTTGCTTATGTGAATTATAGCAGTTTTGTATTTAGAAGCTTTTTAGAGTATAGGTTTTACCATTTTGGTATCTTTATTCTTGAGATCTTCAGTAAGGATACACTAAGATGCTACATATATACCTGCCTAGGCAGCAGCACACCACCTCCATGCCTGCTGCTTGAGTCCAGGTGAGGAAAGCCCTAGGCCACCATGTATGTGGGATTCCTCAGTGCAAGCCAAGACCTCAGCTACTTGTTCTATGGCACAAAGGATTCCTAATCTCTGATTAGCTTAAAAAAAATAGGGCAAGAGAAATAATCACAGGAGCAGACTTTGGAGATCTTGGACCAACAGAACTGAATTATTTCTAGTCCTTGAGCAAGGAACCCTCTTGAGTTTGGCAACTTGGAGTAGATCTGTGCAAGAAAACCAAAAGCCTTGTGTGGTTTCTCTCTGCAAATGATGTTCTCTAGGATACTTTCAGTTTTACCGAACAGGATTTGTCCGATATTACTGATCAGTTTGGGGTAATCTATGGTAGGAAAGGGATAAAAGAAAAGTCAGCTGTTTTGCAATATTGGCCCACTCAGTTACCTACACCTATTTCAGACTGGATGTTGGCCAGCCTAAATTGCTCTCAGGCAGTACTGCCCAGCATTTCAGGTTGAGCAGATACCTCAGAAGGAGTTAAAGATGAAACTAGCCAGAGTCAGACACCAGGAAAGAAGAGGAAGCAGGATTTGGCTGGAAATAAGGTTGATTAAGTAGGAGCTCCAGATTTGTATTTCATTCCCCTTGTCTGCATGAGATAGTGCATAAACTTTTAAATATTTATTGTGACAAACCAAAACCTCTTGACTACATTTGACATGAATATCATTGCCTGATATAACTAACTGTTGTCTGTAAAGCAATGGGAGAAAAGCACTGTGATATCCTCTGTTGATACATAATTATGAAAAAAGTAGACTTCCTTCTCTTCCATTGGCACTGTGTTAATCTCTGTATTTGCTAAAAACAATATCATACAATGAATAAAGGAATTTTGATTCATTTTCACACTTTAGATTTTAATTCAGACTAGGATAATTACGGTCCTCACGGAGATCAAACTGATCTGGTATCATAAAGAAATACATTTTAACTTCTTATAAAACATTTCATAACAAGAGTTTATATTTGTTTTCAAGCACCATGCTGAGGATTCACACGCAAGTTTACTGTATAAAAATCATACATTTAATAAAATATTCATATTCCAATAGATTAAAAAATATGAATTATTTAAATCTTGACAAAAGTAAACAGTCCTACAAAGATTCATTTGTTAGATGTATCTCTGGAGGAATCAGTGACTGGTATTGAATCTGGAGAACAGGGGAGAAATATATGGCCATTCTCTATATGAAACGCAAAAGGGCGCATCAGGAAATTAGAAGTGACCACTGTGACCTTTTCTGTAAATAAGAGATGGACTCATAGTACACCATTCACTCTGAAAGTGCACATAATTTCTCGCAGATTTGGTATTATTCTGTGTTGCAGATCAGGGAGCAAGAAAAGGATATTAAAGAGAAAACAAAATGATAGCGTGAAGCCACCTTTAAAATTCATGGACAGTATTTTTGTGACAAGGACTGCGACATGTCTACTGCAAAGGAGCTGTTAGGGTACACGGAAACTACTGACACTGCTGTATTAAGGACACCGAAAGGTGATACAAAACTAAGATGTTGAAAAGTCTGCAAATGACAAATGAGCCTAAATTCCATTAGAACTCATAATGGGAATTTAATTCCAAATTTACTAAAATATTTACATTTTTATCAGCTAAGCCAGGGATTTTTCTGTATATCAGGTAGCTCGCCACTGTTAATAAGACCCACCCAGCTACACTGACTTTGAAAATGGAAGAATGTTCCCTAGGTCATTTTGCTGCTTCAGAAAAGTTTTTCACTTTTGGTGGATCTGGGAATGACAGGCTGAGTAAATTAACCCAGAAAGGAAGAAAATGCCTACCAAAGAAAATACAAGTGAAGTTATGGCTAAGTCATTAAATATTTGGAGTCTACTCTAAGTTCACATATAGTCTGCAAAGTTTAGCAGAATGAAAAAGTTATGGAAATTGATACTTTTTATGTGATTTACTGTATTTTATGGTCTGTTATGTCACATATAATATCATATATAATGTTATAATCATATATAATGTTTGCTAGATGTTCTGGTTTTTTTTAGACCCACTGAAGTAGAAAAGTCTGACTACATTCATCAGTAAAAACCAAATTTACTCCTAGAAAGATGAGGTTGTTAACTTTTCTAGTTTAGTTAAAAATATTTAATTATGAAATTAAAAGTCAATTGTATTATTTAAAAAAATATTATATTCTTATTACTTCAGATAAGAATTATTCACACAATTCCAAGATTAGGACTTTGAGAAAAATAGCAAGTGTCCCAAAAAGATGAAAGCTGACAACAATGCTGATCTGGCTTTTTTAAAATTTAGAGGAAACAGATTGAAGTGGTTGAAAAGTACAAAGGAAGATGAATATGTACACAACTGACAGCAGATACAGATGATCTGGGTTTTGACATGCACTCTGTGCAGTTGCTTGTGGCCCTGCAGAAGGTGCTTGGGTTGATAGAGTGCCAGCGGCTGGAGATGACCTGGCTCGGGTGAAGCTCAGGGAACTGCCTGGGGGTGTGCGCTGAGTTAATGCAGCAGGACAGCTGATCATCTTTGGGAGATACTGCTGGTGTCTGTAGAGCAAGATCCATTTATAGCAGCTGAGAAAATCCTTTAGGAGTTATGGAGCTACAGAGCAAGAGGATTGACCTTGGCAACCTGGGGACCAAAAGGCTGACACAAGAAGCGGTGAAGCAGTGCCTTTGGGAAGTAGGTTGTACCTTTCCTCTCATTACCAACAAGCAAATAAAATAGATCAATAAAATCAGACATGATTACTGCCAACATTTATGTTGCTTTCAGAATACATGTGTAGAGCAACTATTTTTTTGGCTTCCCAGCTGCACTGCAAACTTTATGAGTTTCTTGGACACATGTAAGACATCTGAGAACTGGAGGATGGTCCAGTTACTAAGCTTTATTCAAGCATCTGGGATAATTTATTTGTTCTGTCACTATTATTTGGTTATAACTGTCAAAAATTCACTTATTCTTCATGAAAGTTTGCAGGAACCTCTGAGATTCTGAGGAAGCAAATGGGTCTTATCCCAGCCCACAGGTCTGTTGTCCCCTTATGTTTATGTGCTGTACTTAGACTCTGTGGGTCACCAGGAGGATACAGGTTCTAGTGAAAATGAGGAATAATCAACCTTTATTTAATGCTACTTCTCTTTTTAAAAGGGGAAAATGCCAAAACAAAAAAAAACCCAAAGCAAACCCTGAAACCAGGCCAGCTAAAGTATACAAAAGTAATACATCAAAGGATGTGAAGGGTTAGAGGAAAAGGAAATGACTGATTCCCTTAGACTCTGATGTGACCTTTTGGACCCCATCACCAGAAAGAGACATCAAATGGCAGAGGCTAGGGAAGCCCAGGACCAGTGCCACACCATGACGTACCTCCTCTCTGCTGGTCTGCTAGAGGTCCTCCCTGTCCCATGGTATGCACTTTCATGGACCTTAGCGAGACATGTGTCTTGCCAGAGGTTGGCCACAGTCGATGAGGTGCCTGTCTTTCAAAGGATGAAACAAGGCTGACACATCCACTTCACCAGGTGAGCAGGGAGGCAGAAGCACCAAACACAAAAAGCCACAATTTCATCCTTTCCTGCATCCAATAGCAATCTAAAGCACAAGCATGGGGGAGATTTAATGGATGGCCATATAGCTTCCATAGGAGATATGCAAAGAAGCTAGTCCTCACTGTCACTTGCAAAATAAATCACCAACACCTGGGATACACAATTTTAGTATCAATCAGGCTTGAAATATTTCCTCCTTAACAGCCAAGTGTCTGGAGGTGGATTCTCTCCTGATACGATAGCAGACCTTAACTTTTGACTAAAAGCAAAGGACACCGAAGGACACTTTTATGTGCAAGGACACACTAAATATGTCTAATCTTAAATTATTGTTTTTCTTTCACAGGGGAAGAAACCCTTCATGGTCCTATTTTTATCCAAGAGCCATATGATATCACTTATTCCATGGGCTCAGCAAATCCAGAAATCGTACTGAACTGCACAGCTAAAGGATATCCTGTCCCATACTACAGGTGAAGTCAACTTTGGAAAAATATTGTATCACAGTAAATATTTTAACCGTGTTTTAATCAGCAGTGCATCATCATGTATACCTACGTAGGTATAGTAAATTTGAGGAATGAAGGAAAAATATTTTTACCAGTCTAGCATTAAGAAAATGAACACAGGAAAAGAAAGTAAGGTATTCGAAATTGTCCCCCAAGTATTTTAAAACATACAAAATTACTTCTGAATTCACAGAACAGCTGTGAAAAATGGAAATATTGCACATCTGTGTCTGACAAAACTTTCTGTGTATCATTAAATACCTGGAAAGCAAAAAAAGCAACATCCGTGCCCATTTCTAATTCTAACATTTTATGTATATATTTATAGTGGTTTTTTTAGAGAAAAAGGAAGGCACAGCTCTAATACCTAGCTTTCAATACTCTCTAGACTCACTTAAAACCTTGATACATAGGATTGCTTATTCAATAGCTATGGACTCATTTGAAATGTAGCTTGTTGGAAAGGATCTGGAAACCTGAATCTGACATACTACAATCCCAGTTTTCTTCTGTTAAATAATTCAGATCAGCACTAGCCTTCCTCCACAGAAAAACAAAACAAAACAAAACAAAACAAAAAAAATCAAACCAATGACAAACACAAAAAATAAACAAAACTCCAAACAAACAAACAAAACAAGAAATTAGAAAGAAGTCACCTAAAGCCTGCCAAGCAAGGATTTTGTGCAGAATTTTGACAGTTGCTGTTTGGTCTCAGATGCTTAGTACTAACTCTTTTTCTGAACTTACATTCAGTATCCAGAGTAATCATGTAATCTGGCATTTTCATGAAAGTTTGAAGTTGTGGACTTTTTTCCCTCACTAATCTCCACAGAGAGCAGTCAATTGAACAAATAAATACAAAATCCAAGGACAGCATAAGCATTATTCATTATAACAATATATTAATATTTCAGCATCACTTAGAATGATGCAGTAAAATAAGACAAAGATATTCAAATTCAATCCAAATCAAAATACCACAGAAGATAACTGTAACAGACAAATAAAAATGATGGGAATAGGAGCACAAAGTCTACGATGACTACAAATGACATAAACTATATTTATAATCATTGCATAAAATTGTAGAATGAGACCCAGTAACCCCCAAAATACATTTATCTTATTCATACCCTTGAAAAACAAATGACAACCCTGCTATAATATATTTGTTCAGTAAAATAGTATCTCTTTTCTCGATACAGATTCTGCTTCAAAAGTGGAGTACAATTAAAAGTGTCTTCAACCTCTGCTGTCTTGTATACAGTCAGTAGTTATTAAACTTTCTATTTTCTTCCTCCATGGAAATACTGTCTACTAAGAGGTTTTGAAAGTATTTTCCAAGTACAAAAAAGTGTCGAGCACTTTGGCACGACATTTCCACTGGAATGCAAGTAATCCAAGAAATATAGAACACAATGAAGACAGAAAAAAATGTATTTTTATCATAGCAGTACACTGAAAAGATAATTAATTAAATCATATATGCATATATCCACATAGAA